CGGAAAATGTGCTTTACAAACACATTAATACTTACGGAAAATGTGCTTTACAAACACATTAATACTTACGGAAAATGTGCTTTACAAACACATTAATACTTGCGGAAAATGTGCTTTACAAACACCTTAATACTTGCGGAAAATGTGCTTTACAAACACATTAATACTTATGTAAAATGTGCTTTACAGACACATTAATACTTACGGAAAATGTGCTTTACAAATACATTAATACTTACAAAAAATAGGGATGAAAAATTTTGTACATTTGTAAGTTACACTCACGCTTACTCATTCTCTGAATACAACTACATAAAAATAAACAACTTTCAGAATTTACCCAGTCAGTAAACACAGAGTGAAAGGAAGAAGATGCTAAACATTTCTTGTCATCCAAAGAAGTGTGCATTACAAACACATTAATACTTACGGTAGTAATATTAACAGTATACAGATAATGAAACAGAAATAGGTTTGGCAATTCACTCTTTTTTAACTAGGCTCTAACTTAGACCCAATGTAAAGCATATATTGCTTTTGAATTTCAAGGAAAACTGTCGGATTATTGCTCATAGTTCATTAGTGTATTATTTTCTTATTAAGATTAAAAACTTGGCGCAATATGTAGCACAAAGAGTAAGCGAAAATAAGGAACATGAGAACATTAACATCACTGCTATCACTTTTAAATGTATGGACAAAGGTAGCAATGTTTTCTTTAATAATTTTAATAAAATAGATAAGACTGGAGATACAAAAACGAGAAAATTAGAGATGCAGTTGCCATTATAGCGCATGGCAATGGACCAACTAATTATATTAACCAAAACTTCGGACCCCCAATAACTGTTTGGCTACCTTGATCGACAATAACAGAGAATACTTGTAAGAACTTAGTATCTGTTAAACCTTGTTTAATTAGCCATTATTAATAAATACTACTGTATCACTCGATGGCATTATTTTCATTGTATATGTATACACGTGTATATATATGTATGTGTGTGCTTATTGCTGACTTTTACATGTGTTGTAGATCTATCTCTGCTAATAACGCTGTTTCCTTCAGGAAAAACCACATAAATGCAATCTATGTGTGAAGTCGTTTCCGACTCCTGGAGACCTGAAGAGTCACATGTACATTCACAACGGCTCCTGGCCATTCAAGTGTCACGTATGTGGTCGTGGATTCAGCAAGCAGACAAATCACAAAAATCATCTGCTTCTTCACACAGGTAGTACGAAATCATGTTTAAAACACCACCATGTCTAAAATTAAACTTTTTGTGACTACTTTAGTGAATCCCGTCTCCGAACATGCTCACCCATTCAGTCATGAGGGCGGTATAATGTGATGGTCAATCCCACTATTCGTTGGTCAAAAGTAGCCCAAGAGTTGGCGATGGGTGGTGTTGACTAGCTGCCTTCAAAATTAAGGACAGTTATCGCAAACAGCCCTCGAGTAGGCTTACGCAAAATTATTAACAAACAAAGGCTAATTTAGTAGTAGCTGAGCAAAAAGAATGTTTGGTGAATTGATTGATGTAGAATAAATATGAAGACTAATTCAAGTTACATTACATGTATTTGATTTAATATCAAATTCCCTAACGTTTCTTTTCCATAACAGATAAGTTTCTGTAACATAAACACCCAGTTAACGTTCTATTTTATAAATTTCAATTGGTACAAAATTCTCTAACAGTTCCTTTTCGTTAGCTGGGTATTTTATGTTACAGTTCTATTTTATATATTTCAATTGGTACAAAATTCTCTAACAGTTCCTTTTCTATAACATAAAATATCCAGCTAACGTTATATTTTATATATTTCAATTGGTACAAAATTCTCTAACAGTTCCTTTTCTGTAACATAAAATACCCAGCTAACGTTCTATTTTATATATTTCAATTGGTACAAAATTCTCTAACAGTTCCTTTTCTTCCATTAGGAGATAAACCTCACGTTTGCAAGGTATGTCATAAGAAGTTTGCCCTGGCGTGTAACCTGCGTTCCCATTTAAAAACTCACGAAGGTAAGATTTACAAATACCACAAAACCTTATCAAGAGAGTACAATAAACAAAGAAAAACATAATAAGACAAGCATGCAACATTCAAGTGTAAACTTTTCTTTCTGTAGGTTATCATCAGGGTTGAAGATGAGTTAACGATGATTAACTCCTTTCGTTTCTTCGGAACAAAAAGAGTTAAACTATCAATGACAAAAAATTCTAATCCATGACAATGAAAGTGTATATAATAGTTTCAACATTACAGATTCCACTAAATTGATAAAATTAAGTCCTAACGCCTTTCTTGTCTAGATTTACTTAAAAATAAAAATTAACTTCCAATGAACTCCAAACTTAATTATTGACATTTATTTTTTTATTAGGTTAAATAGTTCTGTACGTTATACCCGTTGATTATAAACAGAAGTATGTAATGAGAAGTTATTAAGAAGTTTTAAAACTTGCCTCAGGTTGATTTTTTATGTCATAAATAGGCGCTTAATTTCTACCGGATCTTTCAAAATATTTAATTTGAGAACTGGTTACTACGCTTTGTATATGACCACCTATCATTTATTCAATCTTCAGAATCACAGCAAGACAAGTGTCATCGGTGTGGCCACCTGTGTCCAGTCGATAAAGGTTTTGTGACGCATGGTTGCTGCTACGATTGTTACAATAACAATCAAGGAGTTCCTCTCATTGGTCAGTCTCGTCACCGTTATGTGGAAATACTACACTGAATCAAAACTGCAGAAAAATACTCCAATCATGATGCTAGCCTGGATTTATTTAAGTCGGAAACCAGCAGAAATTGTTTTATAAACATATTGTAGATTTGTAGAATACATATAAAAATACTCAAGTTTTGTGAATTGGAGCATAATGGGTATTGTATTACTTAAAGCTTTAACAGATATAAGAAGTACATCACAAATACTGTTTTCATGTGCATTATTAATCCAAATAAGAATTAGCCTTAATATTCTGAGTTACTTTAGCTATTGTCGGTACCAGTAAACTACTGTTAAATATTCAGTTGCAAAACCCACGCACATATATCAGCAAGACTTAGACATATTTAGTATTACTGTTTTAATATAATATTAGAATCAAACTAACACACTAAACTATAGCTACCATCACAGAAATCCCCCTCTCTAAAAAAATAAATAAATGGAGTTATTGATTTGTTCTATAGTATATCAGTATCTTGATGAACTTATTGATTTGTTCTATAGTATATCAGTATCTTGATGGACTTATTGATTTGTTCTATAGTATATCAGTATCTTGATGGACTTATTGATTTGTTCTATAGTATATCAGTATCTTGATGGACTTATTGATTTGTTCTATAGTACAAACAAATGGTTTGCCCAAATTTTCATGTACAATTATTTTGGGCCAGTGTTTGAAATAGCAGCATTGAAATAATTACATGGTTCTGGTTATTATATGCGTTACTATCGTATAGCCCGTCAAAAATGACGTGGCAAGTACTACCACCCCCACCCCATAGTATACCCTAATCTCACATTTCATACCTAGCTGAAATAAATACTGTTACGTATCTGCTCGTTTGATAATTTCCGGTAGAAATTCTTCCCGAGAAACTTCAGCAATACAAGTTCTTTCTTAAATAAATCTAGTTTATTCTTTCTCATTACAACTTTGCAATACACTTAATTTCCACAGTCACTTCAACACACGCTATAATTCTCAACGAACGATTCACGCACTTTATTTACTACCGCGCTTGACTCAGTTATCCGTCTATATCTTCAATCTCTCTGTCCGGTATTCAATTCCGATTCATTGTCTGGCGCACTTATATACAAGAATAGAGGGCGCCTAGCAATACTGGATTATTCGTGATGTTCCACGATCTTTCTAGAACTCATTACGTGTTACCAGTGTCACGTGACTTCCGCTGTCGTAACAATACATTTTGCGCAATCAAGCTTCACCAACAAAGAGGCAGAAAAGTGCAGTTGGGGCAGTCAAACGTCGGTAAATTCCTTTGTGAGCCAATCAAAATTAAGATCATTCATGAAATGAA